ATCAACTCAGTGGACAGCAATATCAAGTTCACAAAGTAGGATGTCAGGAAAAACAAGCTTATTTGACTGTTCTGTGTACACTGAGAAGGACGGAAACCTTAACATTGAAGTTTACCAGAAACCTAGAAACACAGACTGGTACCTGCTATTTGACACCCACCACCCACTGAAGCATAAGCTGGGGGTTTTCAGAACCTCACAGCATCAGGCTAAGAATGTCCCTACCGAAACTGTACATACTGAGAACACACTTAAAACCTTTTGCTATCCCATCTGGGTCCTCGTGAAGCCGGCAAAACAATCCACAAAAAAACAGCACAGCATCAAACAGTGAACAAAAGTACAGGCGGAGCAGCATCCTGTAAGTAGTGTATGTGTCTGAGAAAGTGAAAGGCTTTTCTTCAAACATAATATCCTGGTGTACTTCAGACCCAACAACACTCTGAGACAAAAACTGGTTCACCCTGAGGACAAAACACCCAAACACAAGCTGAGTAATGTTGGATATGCAGTCCAATGCAGCAAGGAGTGCAAAGATCTATATATAGGAAAGACTAAACAACAACACAGGAGAGCAGCTCCTCAGGACAAGACTCAACAGTCCACCTGCATCTGAAGGATGAAAAACCTTCCTTTAAGGACTGTAATGTCCACATTCTGGACAGAGAAGATGGAGGGTTTGAGAGAATAGTGAAGGAACACATCAATGTTAAACTTGAACAGCCATCTCTAAACAGAGAAGTAGGTTTACAGCACCACTTATCAGGTACTTTCAATGCAGTCTTAACAGCTCTCCCGAGAAAGTTTCATCGTCATTAACATCTTGAGTCTTGAGTCACCCCTTGCCAGACAGTTTTACCACCATTCACACCTCAAGGCATATGAGTCCTGGGTCATTAATGGGCCATTAACACTCATCAGTCTGTAAGAACTGAGGAAACCTCCTGGATGAGATGTGAAACATCTTCAAGAATGAAAAAGAGCCGTCCCGTTGCTTTTTTGCTAAAGCTCATAGGAATACCATGACCGTGATGACTTGAGAATCTACACAGAGATACAATTTATTCATGTATAATTTAAGTATGATCAATTATAAATTTTAATTTACACTCTGATGTGCAAATGCAAATGTATTCATGTAGTTATTGTATACACTAAATACAAGGACAAACGTCCTTACCCATTGGGGGTGTGGCCAGAGTCTGCCGTCCAGCCAGCTGGGCGGGGCCTAATCCCTCCAGGAAACCAGTGAACTGTTTGTCTGTTGCCAATTTCACTCCCGGAAATATAAGACTGAAGAGATAGAGAGCGACAAAAAAAGTCCAAATTACAGAGCAAATATTGAACATCATGTGTAAAAGATGTGTTATTATAGAGAAAAGAAAGTATACACATTAGAAATGACTTAGAGAGCAGTAAAAAGAAGACTGACAGATTAAAAAGAGGAGCAAGACAAACAGGAGAGCAACATTGAAAAGAAATGACAAAATTAACAGTGTAAAACAAGGAGTGATGGATGACAACAGGGTAGGAGACTTTTTATAAAGTGTGACAGTAAAGGTGGGAGTCACAATGTAAAAATGGAAGTGACCATAAAATGAGGTGGTGGGGAAAAAGGAGGGACTCTTACGCTCCAGGTTTGGGATCCTCAGCGTCTGGGTCTCGACTCGGCTGTCGGGTGAAGCGAGATTTAAACTCGACCGCTAAACCTGTTTCTACACTCCTCTGGACAGGAAGTCTCACCACCTTCTTCTTCTTCTCCTCCTCTGGATGAATGAAGGAAGACAGATGGACAGAGAGAAGAAGAAGTGAATACAGAACAAGTTGATCAACATTGAGTATCTGCAGTATCTTCATCCTGCCAGCAGGAGGCGACACAACCATTCAGGTAAAATAAGTTAGAAAGCTGAGAGGCTTCAGCCAGATTTCAGCTGATTGTTAATGCAGAAAAGCTGAACAGTTTGTGCACGTGAACATAAAACAAAATCAGTCTAAATTCTCTGATTGCAGCTTCTTAATATTTTCTTGCTTCTTTCCTCCTCTACGACAGTAAAAAAAATATTTTTGGCTTGTAAACAAAACAACACATTTGGCATCTTCGACTGGGGAACACAGATCAACATTTTTCACCATTTTCGGACATTTCACGGACCAAACAACTTCTTCAGAAAACAACCTACAGAATAATCAGCAATAAAAATAGTTCTTATCTGTGGCCCTACAGTCAGCATTAATCCTTGCTCCTTTGGAAGATATCCGACGAATGGTAACATTAACATTGATCATGCTACATCAGCCTTCTTTTTATAACTGTCGGCTATTGCCAGCAGATTTCAGTCTGTTCTTTCTTCTTGTCAGATTCTTAGGATTGTAGATGACTTTGGACCATAGGTGTGTTTAAATGTGTGACAGAAACAGGAGGTTACTGAATGGAAGATGCTTCTTAGAGATCAATCAGCTTCTGAGCAGATATTATTGGCTGCTGGAGTAATCTGTTTATTTAGGAGCTTAAGCGTTTCAGATTTCACTTGAAGACAGTAAGTATCCTCATATTTTACATAAGATTGTAAGATTATTGTCATTTAGTTTTGCCTCCAACCCTCTTAACCCCAAAAACCAGCCAGCATATTAAAGGCACATTATCTTTTAAATACATTTTCCAAATAAAATACAATTTATCAGTCATAAACTGTAAAAATACAAAGAATTTTTAAAAATATAACTTTTCAGTGGTCCTTTATCGCATTATGTATAACATTCAGTCACAAATTTGACCAAATCTAGGCTTGATCATGATATTCAATCAAAACATCTTTAACCTTCATGTCATTAAAAGAAAACGTTTGCATATCCTTCTGAATACTGTAATAAACCAAAAATTTTGAGCTGACTCAGCTGTCACATAATAAAATTCAGCTAGTTTTTTAGATGAACTGCAGGCTGTGTTTTTACATCGCAAAGAGGAGATGACAAGAAAGAGGAAAACGAAACATTCCGGATCAATAAAATAAATGCAGCATGAGTCAAAAATGGAATATAGAGGAACAAATTGAAAGATACATGGTCAGTATGGTGAAGTATCCGAAAAAGTGTTAAAGTGGCTCCACTCCAATTAAAAGTCCTGCATGGAAACTCCTACTTAAATGAAAACACACAGCAGAAAAATGTAGTTAAAGTTTCGCAATGAACTACTCTATACACAGGTTTATATACAGTGACAGCAGATAAACCCAAGAGATTAATGGGGGAGGACAGAAGGAAAAAAAGTTCAGATCCAATCTTTTAATTTTGTCAGAAGTTTAGAGGGACAAGGGTCACTATTTTCCTGAAACTGACCTTCTGGGTTGAGCTGCGAGGCACTCTGACTCTTCTTTCCCAGTCCGACCATTCCCATCATCCTCGCTCCGAAGCTCGAGCGACGCTTCTTGTCGTCGTCATCGTCATCGTTTCTTCCCAACGAACAAATCTCCCCACCAACACTAGAGGACTTGGTGAGAGGAGCGCCAGCTGGTGCTGCCCTGCAGGAGGAGAAACAAATAGACACACCTGTCAGTTAACTGAGGAAGAGGAGCTAAAACACCTGTCTGTCATCTGTGAGGAAGGAGCAAAAGATCTGTCTGTCACCTGAGAGGGAATGGTTAAAACACCTGTCTGTCACCTGAATTGAGGGGCAAAAATACCTATCTGTCACTTAGAAGGAGGAGGAAAAGCACCTGTCTCTCATCTGTGAGGAAGGAGCAAACGATCTGTCTGTCAACTGATAGGGAGGGGTAAAAGGACCTGTCAGTCACCTGAGAAGGAGACGCATATACACATCACGACAGCACACAAACACACAGGAAGTGGGCACCATCACCGCTGTTGCTATGATGACTGGTTTGACTTGAGTCACAGGTCAATGGTCATGCTCTTACTTTGCAGGCTCAGGTTTCTCCTCCTCTGGTTCGTCCACTGATTCGCTCTTCTGCAGCATTGCTCCGCCCTCTGCTTCACCCACCAATTCCTGTGTTCCCTCTGACCCCGCCCCCACCTCCGCTGATTGGCCCTCCACAGATTCTGTTGTACTGTTTCAGCCAATCAGAGGGGTGAACAGCGGCACGCAAACGAGACATGCAGAATGATGGAGAGGAAGTTAATGCATGCTAACAGAAACATGCTGACTTGAAGGGTGAGCAGAAACGGCATGCTACTACTATGTATGTACATCACAACATGCCAAACCATATTTTAAAATCAACAACAGAAAGTACAACATGCAGGATGATGATTGATGCATCATGGGACATGAAGCTGCACTAGACACATTCTAACGCTGTGTGTTCTGTGATCAGTTCCTGTTCTATGACTGATCCCTGGTATGTGATTGATTTCTGTCCTCACCTGATCTTGCGGATAGTTCGGGTTTCAGAGGTGTTGGACATTGCGGACACATCGCTGACGTCGCTGTCTGATGATTTGAAGGACAGGCTGTCTCTCATCTGGAGACAAAGGGCAGGTGGACGGGTGAGCTGTGTGACATCACAGGTATGTACAGTAATGTATTCTTGAGGTATCTGCTCACCTTTGTAGGGTCCTTCATCACACCTGTGGACACACAAGAGGAGCATTAGTTCAATTCAGTGCTCTGTAATGCTATATGTTTGGCAGTGGACAGTTTGGTTAGAATCTGAGATGTCGTAGTTTTGGTTAGTGTCAGGTTTGGCACTCTGCACAGTGATGCCACTGTGATGAAGTATTTAAGTACGCTCAGAGGAAATGCTCCCATAGACTCGGCAGGGACGGTAGTGTAATCCTAATGAGAATTTTTTTGGTTAAACAATAAAAACGCACATGATGTCAATATGTTACAAACAGCAGCAGTGACGTCATGGTCAACATCATCTTACTGACATCCCAGAGTCATCACCGATCGACTAGCGTAAGCGAAAGAGCACCATGTGACGTGATGTTAATACAAAACATTAGATTTAAAATTTTTGAACAGAGCTTCAGTCTGACATCAGCTGACAGTAGAGAACCATCTGTAGCCATGAAAACACAACAAAGGCTAAAAACTAAGTTTAAACTCACAGCAGCCCAGAGAGGAAATTTAAAAATAGATGGAAACAGAGTCTCTACCTTCTGTGCTTGCTGGTACCACCGCCCCTTCAAACAAAAACAATGGATGAAAGAAAAAAGTCAACCCGACAAGAAACGATTCACAATTCTCTAAATCACACAAATAACAGACGGATAGAAAAACGGATGGAGGGATAAATACGCGGAGGTGTAGGGGTGGGCAGTACTTCATTAAATGTTTGTTCAATGTACAGATTCCAGACTCAGTCATTACATATAAAAAAAGCCAAATTAGCCACAATTTGGTTGATTCTGTCCTTCATTTGCAGAGCAATCAATAGAAACCCATAACAGTTGTATTGATAATTAGAGGGAACGCACCATGCAACCGTTTAATTTATACATTATTTGATATAATTTCTCTGTTTATTTCAATAGTCAGTATTTATCAGCTTAATTTCTTTAGCTACATAATATCCTTGTGGTGTACCTCAGGGTTTGATTCTGGGCCCAGTTTTGTTCTCTGTTCAAATGCTTCAATTACATCACATAATTTGTGCAAAAAATGTTCAATATGCAGATGAGACACAGTTCTATTCTACTGTCACTTCCACTGACACTAGCACTTTGGCTGGCCTGCCTTGATAATAAGTATCTTAAATAATGCTGCTTTTTAGTTGTGGAGACCATTTCATGACCCTAGAGGAGGCTTTACACAACACTGAAAAAAATATCCTGACCACACTACAAGCAGGAGGCAGCATGGTTCATTATACAGACTTTAAAAATGCTGGACAATAATACAGTATTAAATCTTATAACTGGGTCAGGGCAGGTATAAACTAAAAAGTGCAGGGAACATTATTCTGAGGACAACTGACCATTTTCCTGTGCCTTGATTGTATCTAGAAAACATATACACTGCATGTACAGTGACTATAACTCATTTTTAAAAAGTATCATAATCATTTTGTAATTTATTTTATTTCACTATAGTTGCTGTGGCTGTTATTTTATTCTACACATATTCTCTCTGTACTGTGGTTCCATTATGTTTGAAGCATTTAAAAAAAAGGACAACTGCAGCTCTGATTAGTGGTACTATGCCTCATTTTATACCTCCTAATTATTGCTCCAACTGTGTTTCCACTGATTTCTAGTTGCTCACCTATCTTCCTGTATCCTTTTCCATTTTTGTGAAGTCTCAACATCAGATTTTTCAGTTCCTCTGGCATTTCTTTTCCATGTGGAGTCATGATGCAGACATGCAGATAGACACAGCCCATAGGTCCAAAACTGAGAAGGTTCTACTTTTCACAGCTCATTTAATAAACATGTTCATGCAGTTAGGCTGACTGGGGATCACAGGTGTACTCGGTTTAGTTTCAGTGAGTGAACACAGGTGTAATGTCCACTGAGTTTCTACTTTGGGGCCTGTATTTGTTTTTTGTTTGTTTATACAAGAAAATCCTCTACTGTTCAGCTTAGAAATAATGCCGTTATTGAGAGCTGATGCAATTTGGAATCATTTAACAGTTAAGTGATATTGCACAGGGATGTACTCATTACTGATGTATAATGTACATTTCGTTTTTTTTCCAAATCTGAACTTTGACAAACAAGTAATCAGGAAGAAATTATTTTTTACCAATGAAGACACAACTAACAAAAGTCCTAAAAAACTGTTATTATTCACAAGTATTTACAACTTATACTACTAATACTACTAATAACTAAGCCCAAGGATCAATGGATGGATAGATGGATAAATGGATGATGGATGGATGGAAAGATGGAGAATTAAATGAACAGCGGAATAAAGAGACTTAAAACTAAACTCACTCTACTTCCTTTAATCCCCATCTCACCATCAACTTGTCACATGACCTAGAGACCACCTGTCTACAGGTGGGTGTGGCTAACTGGTGACACCATACCATTGGCTGTTTTCTTCTGTTGGTCCTCCCATGTGACCTCTACGTCATGCAGACAGAGAGAGGTGATTGGTCAGACTACAGGGACACTCAAGACTCTGTTCAGGTGATCCGTCTGACATCAAACCAGGTAAACCAGGTTAACCAGTAGAATAAACCCCAGTGTTGTCATCCACACACACCTGGACAACAACAACAGTGCAGGTTTACAAACTGAGGATCACCTGAACACATCATCACATTCATCTGAGACTGGACTTGCCTTTTCTGGTCCCTCCGGGTGTCGCCGAGCGTCTGTCCGGCTCTGACACATACAGGTGTGATGTGATGAATGTCAGCGTGATGAACACACGAATGAATGAATTAATGAATGAATAAATGAATGAATGAATGAATGAATAGTAAAGAGGATGGAGAATGAATCCTAGATATGAGTTCTACTGGTTCTACACTGAATATACATATCAAATCTGTGTTGTACACACCTGGAGTCTGTGGGGGCGGGGCTGGTGAGGGGGTGGGTGTAGGTGTTGGGGCAGGTGTTGGGGCAGGTGTTGGAGTAGGTGTAGGGGGCAGGCTGGGTTCAAGAGGTGGCTGTGTGACGACAGTAGCTGGGGGCTGAGCAGGAGCAGGTGCAGGGGGTGGAGCTTGGACAGGTGCTGGAGCAGGTGCAGGTGCAGGGGGTGGTGCTTGGACAGGTGCTGGAGCTGGAGCAGGTGCAGGTGCAGGTGCAGGTGTGGTTGGAGGTGCGGGTGAGGATGAGGGTGCAAGTGCAGGTGCTGGCGTGGTTGCGATTTGAGGTGCAGGTGCGGGTGCACGTAGAGGTGCAGGTGCTCGTACAGATGCAGGTGCAGGAGGTGGATGGGGTTGGACAGATGGAGGAGGCGGGGCTTGGACTCGTATAACAGGAGGTGGGAGGTGATTAACAGGAAGAGGGACCTGATGATGTGGAGTGGGAGGGGTTATTGTTGCCATTGGTGCTCCTGTGGTGGGCGCAGTCAAAACTGATGGTCAGCAGGGAAATGATGAGATGATGAGAGATGCATGAAAACAAGATGAGATGATGAATGATCACATGACCTGTTTCAAACGTGAACCAATCGCATTTTCAGTTTTACTCATTAGGAATTCCAGGAACGGTGGTGATTTATCTATGAAATCTGCATCAGATCAAAGATTGCTTGGAGATGACGTGAGGCCATCTGAACCTGAATGTACAAGAATTACCCACAACAAGACTCATGAGCCATGTTTCCTTCCACGCTTCTTATTCTTCTTACACTTCTTAGTCAAATATTGAATCAATGCAGGGCTACTGCTACAGGCACTACAAGGTTATCTTAAAGTACTACAGAGGGAGAGAACTGTTCTACTTCTAAGCAGGTAAACAGGTGGTAAATCAATACCTGTCTCCACATGGTCAGAGGGTTCTCCTCCATCTGAAAAACATAATTCAGTGTTAGACTACTGGGACCCCCAGGAGCTCGTCTGGGGACAAAATCTACTCTATGATGTCTCTACATGGAGGTCCTTGAAGAGCTCCTGTTACCCCTGATGGTACATGTCAGTTTGAAATGAACTATCACTCAACAGCGGATGTATTAGGTTAATCTATCAATTCATAAATTGATACTTCATTATTCACTGGAGACATTCTCTGTTAGCAGCATCAGGAATGTGAATATTTGCTCGTTTTAGTTTTCTGTGACAGCAAACTCAAGAGCTGAAACAAGGCATTTGAAGCCGTGAACTCCATCTTCAAGGCGCAAATTCCACTATTTTCAGACATTCTGTCCAATGTAAACGCATACGAAGGAGGACATGAGTGTGGGTATCTGTAAAAGCCTGACTTTTATGTGGCGTACATTTTTAACTTGTAAATATGCTGTAATTTCAGAATCAGAATCAGAAGCTTTTTTTATTGCCAAGTGAGCTTGCACACACAAGGAATTTGCCATGGCGAATGACGCTGATACACAACAATAACAAGACAAGAAAAAATATAGAAATAAAAAGTATAAAAGTACTACGTAAATAAAAAGTACTATGAGAAGAGAAATAAGCAAAGTAATAAAGTAGGAAACAGATTTAAATTACAATACAATATTGCACCTGAAGTTGAGGAATTGCACATGTAATAGTAATGCACAGAAGAGTGCAACAGGAGTCTTTAGTGATTTACTGACTGTTCATGAGGGATATGGCCTGAGGGAAGAAGCTGCTCCGGTGCCGGGATGTTCTGGTGCTTAGAGACCTGAAGCGCCGGCCGGAGGATAGCAGGTCAAAGAGGTGATGACCTGGATGGAAGGGATCCGTGAGGATTTTTCCTGCCCTTTTCCTCACTCTGTAGGAGTACAGGTCCTGGAGGGAGGGCAGGGGGGCACCGATGATCCTCTCAGCAGTCCTGACTGTCCGTTGCAGTCTCCTCATGTCTGATATGGTAGCAGAACCGAACCAGACAGTTAAAGATGAGCAAAGGACAGACTCAGTGACTGCTGAGTAGAACTGTTTCAGCAGCTCCTGTAGCAGTTTGAACTTCCTCAGTTGGCGGACGAAGTACAGGCCCTCTGTTGGGCCTTTTTCACCACAGAGTCTATGTGGGTCTCCCATCTCAGGTCCTGGGAGATGGTCATGCCCAGGAACCTGAAGGACTCCACAGTGGCCACAGTGCTGTTCAGGATGGTGAGGAGGAGGAATGCAGGGGGGTTCCACTGTCATCGCCAGTGTTTTGAGTATGTTAAGCTCCAAGTTGTTGTGACTGCACCAGACAGTCAGCTATTCTGCCTCCTCTCTGTAAGCAGACCCATCACCGTCCTGGATGAGCCCAATAACAGTGGTATTGTCTGCAAACTTCAGGAGCTTCACAGAGGGGTGTGAGAGGTGCAGTCATTGGTATACAGGGAGAAGAGCAGTGGGGAGAGAACACATTCCTGGGGGGCGCTGGTGCTGATGGTGCAGGTGCTGGATGGGAAGTTGCCCAGCCTCACCTGGTGCTGTCTGTCTGTCAGGAAGCTGGAGATCCACTGACAGGTGGGGGGTGGGACTGAGTTTGGGAGTTTGGGCAGGAGGAGATCCGGGATGATTGTGTTGAACGCTGAACTAAAGTCCACAAACAGAATCCTTGCGTAGGTCTGTGGTCTGTCAAGGTGTTGCAGTATGTGATGCAGCCCCAAGTTGACTGCATCATCCACAGACCTGTTAGCTCGGTAGGCAAACTACAGGGGGTCCAGCAGGGGTCCAGTAATGTTCATGTTCCTTTTTAAAAATTATCGCTCGTCTTCCTGTAAATTGTATTGTCTACTTTAAATCATACTCTTAGTAGCACTTGGAATTACAAGACCTAATGCATGACTTGTCCTCTACAAATAAAGTTAGATTAATTCAAAATAATTGTCAGATGTACTGATAGTTAAAATAATTGTTGGTTGCAGCTTCAAAGTTCTTCTATAATGGATCAACAGCTACAACGTTTTCAGGTTTTTGGAGGTAATTAGCTGAGAAAGTCTTGCATAAAATTTCCTAAGGTTGTCATCAAATTGTATTTCCACTTAAAAATTATGCTTTTTGAAACATTGGTTGAATAATTTGCCTTCATTTGGAATAATAACTGCCACGTTTTTGTCCTGTGAGAACAAAAAAATTTACCTGATAAGATTCCCAACAAATATGCAAATTAATTGAATTAAAAAAAAAACAAAAAAACCCCCCAGAAATGGTATGGAGTAACGTCGAGGCTTTTGGGGCTTCTAAGCAGTTGCCTACTTTTATCTTTATGCAGGGGATACATAGTAGGTCTGTATTATCCAGGTGTTCGGGTGGATTGGTTGGTCAATCTCCGGCTTTACTTAACAAGGAGTTATTTTTTAGTGGCAGGAGGAACGGACTGCCTGTAAACACCCCTGTGTTTCACAACTTTGAAATATCAAACTTTTTTTTAGCATTTATTGAACAGTTACTTAAAATCAGCACCACACAAACACCATGTCAAAGAAGTTGTCGATGTGGCTGCATTTTGGTCAAACAGACGGCCAAAAGGACGAGTGTAAACTTTACAAACAGCAGTGTTCATATCACAGCTCAACAACAAATATGGTAGATCATTCAAAAACTTGCTAATTTTTTCTGACCGGTTGAAAAGTTTGTACAACTTCAGTCCCACAACAGCTACGTAGTAACATCTGAAGACTGTAGCTGTCTGTTTTCTAGAAAAGTTCATTAAAAATGGTTGCCTGCCGTCTTCATTCAGAATTCAAGGTCACCCAACATCACTTTTATCATTAAAAAAAACAAACAAAAAAAACAATCACTACACTTAGAGACACTATAAGCAGCATCACCTTCAGATCAAACTCATGGAAATCAGAAAACCAGACTACAAACAAACAAATCAATGAAAAGAGTTACTTTAATATGAACTATAAGATGAATCGGCTCTCTTCGTCTCTGAGCTACTGCTTTTACCTTCAGCAGACAGGAAGCTGTCAGGGGCTGATGTCAGAGATTTTTACTGTCGCCATTTGAACCAAATCCCTGTATTTCTAAAGTTTGTTTAGTTTAAAGTAAAGGTCTGCTGGTTGTGAAACACAAAAGTGACATGTAAGTGGGCCCTGCCAGCAGCTGACTGGTCAGTCGGAGGCAATGCAGGTGTCTAGCGTCTGTAATGTTCTTACTTCTGTCTGGAGCACCTTTAGGTGGGACGGTGGGAAGCTGGCGACCTCGGCGGCTGCAGACCGGCGTTCCTGTTGGACTTGTTAGGGTGGAACCACCTCGAGCATTTGCCCTGTTGGAAAAAAAACACAGGAATCAAACTACCAACCTGAAAGGAGGAGAGTAAGATCAAAGGTCAAATGACAAAGTTAAGTCAAAGAGGTCATATTCATTAGAAGTAGACGTTTGTTTCTGTAGATTTTGGGCTTTGTTTGTCATCAAGTAATCGATCAGCTGTCTCCATGGTTACAGGGATTGATCTGATTTTGTCAGGAGAGAAAAGATGGCACAAAGAATCCTGATACAGAATCTGTTCCGGCACTGTTGACTTGCATTCTTTCCAGATGTTTTGGCTTCTGCTGTCACATCAACAACAGCTACATAATTTCAGCCAATCAGAACCTGCATTGTCTCACCTGTACATAACTGATGCCAGGTGAGAAGTGTAATGCTTCATGTCCACAGGGGCATTTTTGGACTTTGGATGGGCATATCACTACTCAAAAATGAAAACATAGAGGCTCCACCCTCTTACAACAAACACTGACTGCACCTGATTGGACGAACATTTAATGGTCCGCTCTGATTTCAAAACGGACCAAAATTTGGAAGCTTTCCTTGATAAAAACAAGTAATTGACACGTGTTTCTGAAAACATATGAAGTGAGAAAAAAAGTGCTGAGTCTGTCTTACTTATGCTATTTTTGAGCCATGCTGCATTGATATTATTGATCACGGATGTTTTATTTTCCCTGGGTCCTGTTTTTATAGGATATAATACAAGAATTTTTAAATGAGAAATGTAGAAAAAAAATCTATTTGATGAAATATACAATTTTAAGCTTAAAATTATTTTCCGGATGGAACCATGAATCTCACATGATACATTCCAGGAACATCAGAAAACTGAAAGTTTGAGAATGCTCAAACAATGCCATTTTGGTGATTCATTTAAAGACAACATGCCTTTCAAACCCACTGGTAAGTTTGTCAGGAGTTTTTAGTGGCAGCGAGTTGTGCAGAATGATCCTGATTTGCATAAAGTAGCCTCAACTTTATGGTGACACGGGTGGAGCCTGAACACAAATCTTGTAGTTTTGACATTGTTACCAACAATTTTGCAGCAATATGTTCAAAATGTCTCCAATATCAACTGGACCAACATCAGGACAAACATCTGTATTTTCTCTAGATGTTCAGTTCTCTGTGCAGCTCTATGAATGCCCAATCAGAGTTTGGAGGAAACTGAACATCCAAGAATCAGGTTTCTGAGAGAAAACAAAAACTCTTCAGGAGCTCATGCAGCAAAATCAGCAAAAAACAAACATGCTGTGAAACAAACAAACATGAAAAAACAGGTGTAAAACACATGTGAGAAAAGAAAACAAAGGTTAATCCAACTGAGAGTGGAGTGATGTTACTATGACGTAAAAGAATAGGGGTGCACTCAGACATCATGCTTCAGCAAACACCATGGAAACGCAGCGGCTTTCTGATTGGACGACTTCAGGTCACCTAGTCGGGGCAGGTGAGGGAGGGGCGGAGCGTCCAGACCTCAGGTAGGCGGAGTCGGCTCGGTCAGTGGAGTGCGAGCGCGTGTAGACAGGCCGGTCGGCCATCGCTCGCTGGTCGGCTGAGCGGGAGCGGCTATAGTAATCCCTCCGGTCCATCCCCCGGCTGTACCTGCACATCACCACAACTGTAACCATGACAACCACTGCGCCTGAGGGGTGGGTTAATTAGTTATATCACCGTGGTGACTGGGGTACCGTCACATGTGGAGGGCTGTAATTCAGGATGCATAAGGCACTGGAGGAACCACAGAAGAAGAAAACCTGTTGGAATTTGGCACTGTATTTCCCAGAAAGCCTCAGTGAGAGAACAGACGCTGCAAAGGATGATGGGTGATGATGGATGACTGTCCTACACATCTATATCTACACCTGTCCTCTACACCTACAACTGTCTGTCTGAAAGTCCAGGTGTCTGTCAGTCAAACTGTCCGACTGTCTGCTTGTTTACCTCAGCAGCTCCTCATCGTAGGCCTCGGGCTCATAGGGGAAGTCGGGGATGAAGTCCTGACTGAAGAACAAAGAGACGTCAGAACTCCAGAACATCAGAACCTGCTGTCGTCCTCTCACTTTACAGTACCCAGAGCTCCCAGGGCTCACCTGTAGTCCTCACAGCTGCCATTCATCATGTGGTTTGTCCAGGTGGTGTTTGGACCATTAAAGTATCTTACACAGAAGAACATACATGGAGATGAGAATACTTCTACTCTGCAGATACTATTACTGCTACTGTTGCTGACGCGAGTACTACTACTACTGCTACTACTACTGCTGCTGCTGCTGCTGCTGCTGCTCTTTTTTGCTATAGTCCCAGTACCTGTCATGGGAATCAAGAGAGTTGGCAACAGACATTCTCCTTAGTGGTCTCCTGAATACACACAGAGACAGACAGTTAGACCAGTGCTACAACTGTACTACAACTATACTGTAACCAGTTGCGCAACTGTACCACAACTGTACCATAACTATAGTACAACTAGTACAATAAACTATACTACAGCTGCATGCCAAAATATACTACAGTAAGTACTACAATTATACTGTTACTATAGTACAACCAGCACTATAACTGTACTATAACTATACTACAACCAGTACTGCAACTGTACCACAAACTGTACTATACCTAAACTACAACCAGTGCCAAAACTGTATTGCAGCTATACTTTAACCTTACTACAACAAGTATTCCAAATTGTACTGTGACTGTACTACAACCAGTACAACTACCATTCTGTAACTATATGACAAGTAGAACTGCAACTGTACTACAAACTGCACCACAAACTGAGCTACAAAAATCCTATAATTACACTACAACCAGTATTACAGCTATACTCGATTATACTGTAACTCTAAAACAAATATTCTACAATTGTCCTACAGCCAGTACTACGAACTCTACCACAACTGTACTAAAGCCTGTAGTACAACTGCACTACCCAAGTACTACATCCAGTCCAGACCTGGGCCATGTTCACAAAGTTTCTGCTGTGTGTTGTTTGATTGGTCGACCAGCAGCAGTGGGGCGGGGTTTACCTGACAGGAAAGGTGTGTCTGATCTGACAGGATGTTTACTGATTACTTATTATTTGATTTATTGATTGTATTTCATCCCAAACGCATCATTAAATATGATCTAGATGTGCTGGTTGGCTGTTTTGAAGACTGCATGCTCATTGGCTGGTGTCCAGGTGACCCAGGTCTGAGGCGTTGCCATGTGTTGCCATGGTTACCTATCCAGGCTGCTGTACTGGGCGGCGTCGGAGTACGCTCGACTCAGTTTGGAGCCTCGCAGCAACCGTACGGCATCCTCGCGATATAGCGGGTACAGAGGATTACCACTGGCAACCAGAGGTCAAGGGTCAATAGAAGTCACAAAGGTCAGAGGTCACGGAGGTCAGAGGTCAGGATGAGATGAAGAAAGGAATGAAGCATAATTATGATTCAACAGAGATCAGACACATTTGTAATCACCTTAAATCCAGCCTTCATCCCAAATCCTCAAAACCCCACAACTGAGCCCAGATAGGAGTCTCTTATGTCAGCTGGTGCAGAGACTAACTGCTGCTCTCAGACACTCTGACCAGCCCAACAACAACACTGCTTTCGAAACCACACATGCAAAGATTTGGAACACTGAATATAAGAATTTAAAAGTAGATCAGGAAGTTATCTGGCCCTAAACAGAGATTATTAATTAACAAAACATCTCTCAGAGACAGATTCTGACCAGGTACAGGCTCAGTGATCATAAATCAAACAAGAAAGATACGAAAAAAAATCAAAAGGAAATAGAATATGTGGTCACTGTCAGTGAAATAAATCACATTTACATCATCAAATTCAACTTTGTGATTTCACTTCATCTCATCAGGCATCACCTTGTTTTCCATCATCTGATTTAACTTTTCCTGATCTAATCACATCCCATATTTTCTGGATTTATGTTACTTCCTCTCATCTCTCCTGGCTTTTGTATCGGTCTAATTTGATTTCTCTCATCTCATCAAATCTCATTCCAACTGATCTTAATTTGGTCATAGCTCATCAAGTCCAATCTGTTGTCTCATGACTTAATCGTGCCTCATTATCTCATTTCATTATTCCTCATCTCCCCTGGTATTTGTGGCCCATTTGATAAATTGTTGTCTAATTTTATCACCTTTTTTGTCACCTCTCCTCTTTCTTCTTATAACAGGTTTCATCTCATCCATGTGTTCTTATGCCAGCTTGTGTTGTCTCATCTCATTCTACCTGGTTAAATTTATGTGTTGTTTGATTTAATCTTTCCTCATCGAATCTTGTTTCATCTATTACCTCAGTTGTTTTCATTTTGTCTGATTAAAATGACCATATTTCATCATATTTTGTGTTGTCTGATAACCTCGCATAATGTCCTACCTCACACTCATTCATCTGTCTTTCATTGACCCTCATCTTTTCTTCTTTGGTCTAATGTCATCTTGGTTTCAGTGGCAGCTTCCTGTTGTGACGATCGCCATCAAACATCTAACCTGTCTGCTCTTATCTGTGTTTATCTGTTTATCTTAGTCCAACCCATCTGAATCTCACACAGCCGCTTACCTTTGAGGAGGCGGTTGGCTCGGCGACCGTGACCTCATCCGGACCACGTCGGATCGGGAGCAGTGATTGGACGTGATCACCTGCTCCGGCACTGAGAGGGTGGAGCTATGGAAGTCCCGACCATTCTGTCTGTAGTCTGCACACAGAGAAACAGAGTCTGAGTTCAACCCTGAAGGATGAGCTTCTTCAAGTTACAAAGGGAAGTCAGTGACTACTGGATTCACTGCAGATGGCCCAATGTTTGTGTGATTTCCACTGGGGTGTCTGTGTACCTGCCAGCTTTGGTTGGGTGTTTCAAAGAGTCCAACAACCAATCAATTGCTCCTTACCAGACACTGACACTTGAGCCAGTGTCATAACATATGGGGGCTTGTCCAGGATGGACTGCTTGTGATCTAACACAGGCTTGGTTATTCCCCTAGCTTTATATACATTTTTACAAGATTTGTTCCTTTATTGTGGAGGTAAGTAGCCTGTCTCTGCCTTTTGTGTGTTGTACAGTTGAGCAACTTATCATTAAGTTTCGAGGTAAATCCTTTTAGTTATGCACTGAGTGACTCAGCTGAACTGATTGCTCACATTGGAACACTGAGGAGACCACTAACCCTTAAATACCTGAGGTCGTTAGAGACCCGGGATGTTATAACACCCCGTAATTCATTAATGGAATTCTCTGCAGCTCTCAGCTCCTCTAACTGTCTTCAACATGTGTTGCTGTTAAATATGTTACAGCCACAGGACTTTTATATGTGGCTTCATAAGCTTTATAGAAGAGTTCAGGTCCGTACAAGTGTTTGGAAAATAAGGCACGTGTTAAGGGTAAAATTATATCGTATCAGTTCACCTGCTATCACTCCGATGCCGTCTTCACAGTCATAATCTGAAAACTCACTGTCACTGATCCTCTGAGACCCTGCAGGGAGAGAAAGGTAGAGAGACATAGAGACAGAAAAGGAGGATGTTTAAGCCTGTAAGCAGCTCATCTATAATCCTCTACAAGAAGGTCAACAAATCCATAACACTCAGACCCAACAGCAACTTGATAAACTTGTTCGCACATGAACATTATAGGGCAAAAGAATTCCATTTTACTCGTCAGACTCCCGGAAAACTTTCAGAGAACTACAGGAGAACCTGCAGGACAACACTGTGCTGCTAATAGAACCTCCTTGTCGTAAATACCGTTGGTATACAATCAAGAAGCGGCAGCACCTCCACAGGGATTTGCAGAATCCCCTCAAGAACCTATGACACTTGATTGAGGACCCTTGACTAGCTTTTCAGAAGGGGTGTAATGGTACAAAAAATGTACAGTTGGGCACGTTGTCAGATCAACACAGGAACCACCCCCAAAAAATGCATAACACTTTCAAAACTATTTTAAGAAACATCCAACACTGACACACTGGGCATAATTTATTTCTGTAATAGTTAAAAGGGTACATTATATCAGTAGTAGAAGTTGCGGGTTCTGATCGCAGGAATTAAAATGTGTAGTGTTAGTTAACACATTGTACAACATTCACAGCAATTACACAGAATCGGCAGCTGTAAAGGATAACCTAGCAATCATGCTACAGCTGATATACAACAACTGGTGCTCGACAAAATGTTCCAGGTGGAAGTGAAGCTCTATGGATGGAGTATGTCAACACAGAGACACTTCTGACAGCGATTGTTGGATCACAGGGTGTACCGGAGAGAGCAACTCTCATATCAAATGGTAAATGTACATTAAAACTTAAAACTTTTGCCCAGGACAGAGCTACAGACTGTGATCTAACATCTGTCAGGTGCGACTACACATTTTTGTTGGTTACCCATGTTCCTGACATTTTGCAGGTTTGTCCGTTCTTTTCTTATAACTTTTTTTTATGATCTGTAGACCAACTATGTGAGCTGACAACATGCTATTTTTCCGCTGGATAGTCTCTTTCAGTACATTAAATATCAAAATATTTTCCCTTAACTAAGGAAACAGTTTAAGCAATTCTGTCCAACACTCTTAAGTCCTTCAGCTACAGAGAAAGTGTTAGACTTGATGAGAAAACTTAGAAGAGAATTAAGAACAGAATTATTTTTATTGATCCCCCATTGGGGGAAATTTACATGCCACAGCAGCATCCAAAATATAAAAAAGAAAGTACAAGGAAATAATACTAAGTAATAAAATAAGTATGTACACAAGATGACAAAAATATACTATTGATTGAAAAAAATATATACAATATTTACACTGAATGTAGTGTACTACAGTTTAGTCCTAAAACTCTAACTCTACATTTCCCGTGATGAAGCTGGACAGTGTTTCTTATCAGTGCTTCCTGACTGCTATTTTTTGATCTTTCTACATTACTGGTATATCAACAGCCTGCAGGAAACATTGCAAAACTGCAGCTAGCATCACACACATAGCAGTTATTAAGGGTAAGGGTCAACAGCTATCACACACACATACACAGACACACATACGTGTCATTACCTGAGTTATAGTAACAACCTTTGTCTGGCAAAGCATCGTTGGAGAGTAAAAGTAAAACAAAATGAACAAAAACAGAAGAATTAAAAAGAAAGTAACATGACAAACTGAAGATAAACAAATGACAAACAAACAAACACACAAACACACACAAGAGGCCTTTAAAAACTGATGCAGCAACAGAAAAAATGACAAAACATGAAACATGTTAATGTGTGCGTCAGCATGGTTCAATGTGTGGTTCTCACTCTGCAGCCTCCTGCTGCTTTGTGCGTGCTCAGCCTGCATTCCTCTCCTCTGAAGGTAGGGGGAGGCGTTGGGCAGCGGCACCGACGAAACATCATGGAGCTGCAGTTTGTACCAGTGAGGCTGATCGTCCAGGAGAGCCGACTCCAGCTCTATTAGAACCTGACACACAGAGAACACACAGAGAACATACACATGAGAACGTACAGGCAGAATGTGCAAAGAACACACAAGAAGGACATGCAGAAAATTAATGAGTAGAAGAGAACACAGAAAAAACAGAGAGAGAACATAAGTACACTGGCTCTTAGCAGATTTATTTTAAGATGACTGAAGCATGCAAAGTTTTATGTTTTCTGAGTTGTCTGTGTATGTTTACCTCCCCCAGGAACTGGCTCTCCTCCTCTCGGACTCGAGCCTGGTCCCAGACTGTCAGCTCCAACATTCGTTCTCTGAACTCGCGTCGGTGAACCGGAGAGTACATGAAGGTCTGGTTCCACCGAGGTTCCACTGACTTTTTCACTGTCTTCGTCCTTCGCTTACTCTTATCGCTGTATGAACAGGAAGACAATCAACAGCAAATCACAGAGCAGCACCTGCTGCTGGTTATAAGGAGAACTAAATTATAGCTTTTGCAGGTTCTTAGGAAGAACCACCTGGCCAGAAAATACAGATGAGTCTACAAAACTCTTGGTTCTGAGCTGTTTTTTTGTACCTTCTGTCTGGTAGGAAGTAGATCTTGACATAGGGGTTCCTGGGTCGGCCGTCTTCCCGAACGGGAAGTTCTTTGGCTCCGAGAACGGTTACAATCAGCTGATGACCGACTTTATCATACCACAGCTTGACCTATAGATAAACACCGGAGAACAACAGCATCAGAACCCCATATGGCTGCAGAGGGCGTCTGGAAATAAAAACAGAAGAACCATGCTGCCTATCGAACAGCAGTATAGTGACGTGTTCAGTGCAGTGGTGCCCATAGAACAGGTGTCACTAAACATTAGAGCATAGCAGAGTCAAGTATAATCCTATAGAACAGTGGCAGAATCCTCTGGACTAGAACACAGCCACAGAGCAGTGGCTGCAACCTGCACAACATGAGCAGGTCCCTAAAGAACACAGAAAGACCCCTATAACCACACAACCAACATATAACATGCAAAACAATGTAGGAAGCTTGAACAGCAGAGGAACCCAAAGAACAGCAGATGAACATCAGAGGGAACACTGAACATAATAAAGCAGAAGGAAAATCATTCACAAAGATAGTGGAACCATACGGAACATAAGCGCAAACATTTGGTACACTGGCTGAAAATAGTGATTTAGCATTCATTGAACTGACGAAGAGTCCCAAAGAACAACAGCAGAAATTTTCCAGAACAGACAAACTAGAGAGAAAAGTTGTGGAACCCTACAGAACAGAGGAGCCACAGAGAACAGATGTGAAACAACACAGAGCACGAGAGGAACAATCGAAAACATATGAGAAACCCTAGTGAACATGAGAATAATCCCACAGAACAGATGAAGAACCTTACGGAGCATGGTGAGATTTACAAAGAACAGATGTGAAACCTAAGACAGTTAGGAGAGAATGGCAGAAGATTGATGTGGAACAATTTAGAGCTGAGAAAAACCTGAGAGAACAAATGCAGAAAAACACAGGGCTGAGAAAAGCCCTAGAGAACAGATGTGGAATCCTAGAGAACATTAGAACCACAAAAAACAGGTGTGGAACCCCAGAAAACATGAGAAGAACCACAGGGTAAATATATGGAACCCAAGAGAACACTGGAAGAAACAACAGAGAACATGCGTAACCCTTCAGAACAGCTCAAGGGTGTGAAACAGAAACAGAACAGAACCGTACTTAATAAAGAAGCCCTGTTTCTAAACAAAGGAACCTTAGAGACCACTGCTTTTAGAACACAAAGAAAGACTTACAGACCCTTGAACCAATACAGAACTAAAACAAGACCAGACCAGCTCCACAGATCAGAAGTACGACAGGAGAACAATAAGAAACCCTTCTTCACGAACAGAAAATGAGCCCTACTGAGCAGTGATGGAACCCAGTGGGACAGCATAAAAATCATTTAAATCAGAAGCAGAACACCTACAAAGATCAAAAGAAACCCTACAGACAGGAGCATTGATAACAGAATGAAAGCCCTGAATAACTTCAAAACCACATAGAACATGAGCTAAATCATCTGGAACAACAACAATGGATACTCTGAAAACACCCTTTAGTAGAACCTCAGAAGAAGCAGAACAGATGAACCATCATGTGAAACCCTACAGAACAGTGCAAGAAAGCTACCAAAACAGATGTGGAAACAGCAGCTCAAGTAAAACTCTACTCATCAGTAACAGAACCCTACAGAACAACTGGGGTTCTACTTAGAGCTTCTACTGCTCTACATTAATCTACAAACTAACCGGCACAACAAAGATAGGTGGAGTACACAGATGTCTCACTCCACTCAAATCTACAGTTTACCTGAATCCTGGAAACCAGAGGACGCCTGTTGACAGTCTGAAAACACAAACATCACCATGGAAACGGCTGTTAACTGACAGCTGATTGGCTGTGAGCTGTGTGGTGGTGCGGTGCATGCTGGGTAAACTTACAGACACCTGTCCGGACAGAACACTGGGGCTCATGGGAGACGTAACGGAGATGGATGGACCAACTTTCTGGGAGTCGAAGGAACTGGAACCTAAACGGAGAATGTAGAGATTCAGATACAGAATTTGTGTCTCCTTGTGGTTGTTTGTGTCTGTGGTTGTTTTCCTTCTGTTTAGGGTTGTTGTGCATCTGTGGTAGTTTTGTGTCTCATTGTGTGGTCTCTCTGCATTTCTTTGTGTTTTTTTGTACGTCTCTTTGTGGTTATTTTATGCCATGTTGTCTGTTTTGTATCTCTCAGTGTTCATTCTGTCTCTGTAGTAGTTTTGTGTCACTTTGTGGTTGTTTAGTCTCTTTAAGGTCATTTTATATCTCTTTGTGGTAGTTTTCTGTCTATGTGTGCCGTTTTGTCTCTTTGGGCTGGTATTATGCCACTTTGTAGCTTTTTTGTGTGTCTTTTTGGTCACTTTGCATCTCTTTGTGGTTCAGTTGTACCTCTGTGGTATTTTTTGTGTCAACGTGTGGTCACTTCATGTCTCTTTGCAGTTGTTTTCTGTCATTTTGTGGTTGTTTTGTGTCTCTGTGGTCATTTTCTATCTATTTGTGGCCGTTTCCATCTCTTGCTGGTCGTTTTGTGTCTCTGTGGTCATTCTGTTGTATAACAGACTTACTGGAGTCCAGTTGGACATGAGAGGCGTCTGCTGCTCTGGAAACATCTCTGAGGAACACACATCAACAACAATCAAGTTTTTAGAACATCAGAACCATTTTCTGTCTCTCAGCTCAAACTGTTCTAAAGCCTTGAGTGAATTTAGTAATTTAAAGTGAGACTAACCCAATCGGTCGGCACACCACCAGCTCCACCTGTGGTTCTGGTTTGGACTCCAAGATGATGTTGTAGACCTCATTAAACGTGGCCCCCTGAAGAACCCGACCATTCCACTCCAGAACCTGATCACCTGGAGCAGAGAAGGAATCAATGAAAACATCTGTCTGATGGTGTTGCAGCATGCTTAGACTAATTTTGTTATTTATTCAATTATCACACTAAAAAGAGGTTCTCTAAGTCAGGGGTTCTCAACTGGTGGGTCGCGACCCAAAAGTAGGTCACGGACCTGTTCTGGGTGGGTCGCGGACAGCTGGTCAAAATTAAATAATATACAATGTGCGTCTCAGGGTGGACTTATTTTTTATTTTGAAAATATTTTTATTTTGACAGGCATGGTAGCCATAGTTTGTTTGAGGTTCATTTTAAGTTTGTGTTGATGTTGGGATGCAAGATGGCAAAGCGCAAATATGACCCGGAGTATTTAAAATGTGGATTTTCATACTAGGGCTGGACCTCAATAGCCAACTATTCGTTCGCTGTGCTGGAATCGGGATATCAATTTTGATCTCTGAATATTCCTGAAGAATATATTCCGGAAGACTCAGGTGTGTGTTTACGAGGTCTCAAGTGTTTGTTTACCTGGTTTCAGATGTGTGTTTACCTGGTCTCAGGTGGCCTACAGTGTCAGCCAGACTTCCTCTCTTCACTTTGGTGATAAAAGCACAGAGGCGTCCGGACTCTGTCATCTTTCCCCCAACAACCTGTAGACACACTGCCCATGAGCAAGGCACTAACCACTGCACCACAGAAGAAGAAGAAGAAGAAGAAGAAGACCTTGAGTCCTAGTAGCGCTCCTGTATCCGCGGGAACCGTCCCGTCCTTCATCCGCTTGTTCAGCAGAATTCGACCAATCAGACGTTCTCCATCCTTGGACGGTTGCCATGTGACTGGCTGCTGATAAGTCACAGTGGTAAAGAAATGTAGTTTCTTAGAAACAGCAAAAAACAGTAACAGCTCAGACCAATAAAGTGGAAGAGAATTGTGATCAGGTTGATTGATTTAATATCAAAAACTAATGCTATTGTTTCCAGTGATGAGTTTAATTATAATATTGATCAATGTTTGATGATAGTGTTGATCAGGCAGACAGGAGTGGGGTAGTATGGATGGATAAATCAAGTGTTTAGACCTACCATAGACATGGGTGCCGGCTCGCCGTGCCAGGTACCATGATCCCACCATTGGCTGTCCATGTCTCCTAGCAACCAGAAGAGGTCAGATGTCATTTAAGAAGCTAAAACAATTAAGGGTGCATTCCAATACCCATACTACCATACTGTGTAGTACACCAGAAAAAGATTTTTTTTATGTCCTAATACACAGATTTTGCAGTATGCAAGCCAGCATGTTTGAGATGAATGATAACAGCTAATTTCCCATTACAGACTGCGACAGTCAAAGCTTAAGGTGCAATATTATCACAAAGTAGTCTCTCCTAATTGTACACATACTCCAAGAAACAGTACATATTATGCAAGTACTCAAAGAAAAAATAGCATGCAATTTAGAACACAGCCTTTGTTTCAGACTTTAACAGTTCAAGTTACTATTTTGCAGTATTCTGAGTCCTCTGTTTAAAGCTTCTTAAAGAATGCTTTGAACAGCCTGCATCTCTGTGCACACTTTACGAGGAGCGTCACCTCCCCTCAGGTGGCTGAAAGGAACATATTTGACTGTATTGATCATTTCACTGATTCTGATCTGTGTTTTTAGATTTCAAGTTAACCAGGCAAACAATCAAACAGAGGTTGACCTAAAAACCTGAAATCAACATCTACACCATTATTCCAAGTCTGCACAGATGTTACCAAGACTGGACAAAATGGTGGCTCCACATGAAACATATGTCACTATTTACATTTCTATAGCCTCTACAAACTCTGTGTGTTTCACACTGAAAATTCTCTACATTGGTGCCATGTGACTGTTGGTCACAGCTGAGTCAGTGATTAGCTTCTCAGTTGTGCTAAGGAGTGCAGGATTTTTTTGTTTTTTACAGGATCCGGTACAGCTTTCATTTTCCTGATGGAACGGCCCAGACAAGAGTTGTTCAAGGATCATGTGAAACTGAAAAATCTTACAATTCTTTCTGTTTTCACAGGGTTACACGTGGTGTCATTTTGGTGATTTTTTTTTTTTACATTTTTTTTTTAAAAAAGAAAACATGCCTTTTAAACCTGCTGGTGGGTTTTTGGGTTCAGTCAGTGGGTTAAGATGCATTGCCTACAGTTTGTCCCTACAGCTACCTGCTTAACTCACAGCCATTTAGAACAGGCCAAATCCCAATAACAACTCATCAACGCCACAACATGTTTATCAATGTTGAAATACGTCCGACAGGAGGGTTTAAACCTTTGAGGCGAAAGGAGCAGGGGTTGGGGGGCAGTGGTCTCTCTGAACCATCAGATCTGCCTGCAATAATCTGTATTTCTCAGCTTGCTGAGTCAAAGCAGTTCTAACCTTTGCTGTACTCACAGGTCTGTGTGAATGCCATGAGGAACGAGGAGGAGGCTTCAGCAGAGGAACAGGAGGACAATGAAGAGGAGGAGGTGAACCTGCAGCTCCTCTCTCTTCCTCGTCACTGACTCTGTGATCGCTGTGTGCCCCGAGCTCTGCCTGCAGGCAGCAGAGCAGTTCATACCTGTCTGTAATGGGATTAGTGGAGTCCAAACACTGACTGTTAGCTTGTTAGCATTGTTAATTAGTGGTTAGTTTTGGAGGTCCACCAGCGATCTGACAGGGGAGCTGGATGTTGCTGGAGGCTGGTGAGTTTGGGGGCAACATTGCAACATTGGCTCCGCCCCCTGTACCTCCCACCTTTCCACCAGGTCAGCACCGCCAAAGTCCAGCAGATCAACAAGACACACTGCAGTTCTCCAACAAACCCTGCAGTTAACAAAAATCCTGGAGATCACAGAAAAAATCCAGCAGATCACCAAGAGATCCCACAGTTCACAGAGAGATCCAGAAGTTCACCAAAAAATCCGGCAGTTCAGCAGTAAATCAGGAAACCTGCAGTCCTCTGGAAGACTGGCTGCAGACATGTTCTCCTGATGTCTGTGTTCTATTCCTGTTCTCTGCACTGACTCCTGATAATCCACACTCTCCTCTTATAATCCAATTGAAGCACAGCAGAGACGGTGATTCAGGGGCCTGGCAGCACCGCCGAAGCAGGTCGAGGTGTTCTGTTCTAATTTGGATCAGATTATCAGACAGGTTCCCCAGGGGCCTTCAGGACTCTCCACAGTTCTCCATGCCTGGCTTGTTGAAGGTTCTAGGGTTCTTATATTGGTTAGTTTGTCTTCAGAGCGACAGCAGCAGAGACTCTGAGCTGCTCCGTCACCTCCAGACCTGATGGGAGGAGCCAAGAGCCCTTTGAGCCAATCAGAGCTCATAATCTCTGACCAGGTGATTCTGGTCCAACAACACGGAGACAGCAGATTAACTTGTCAGCATGATGACCCACCGCAACTGTATCTGCAACACCTCCAGCAGTCTTTGTAAGAACATTACGAAACAGTGGAAGAACCCTCAGGAACCAATTAATGTTACAGAGCAGAAACAGCCCCTCTAAAAAAAATCTGAAGAACCTTCAGGAGCACACGAAAAACTCTAAAAACACCATATAACCTCAACAGAACAGTGATAAAACCTTAAGAAACAGAACAGTGCTACAGAGTAGCAGCAGTACCATGACTTGCACAAAAACCCTAGAAGTGTCAAAATAACCTCAAAAAAACAAAGTCCAACAGAATAGTCACAAAATCTCCAGGAACATAATAATGCTACAAAGCTGTAGCAGCCCCCTCTAGAAATGTGCAGAACCCTGAGGAACACATGAAAATTCCTAAAAGAAAATATGTCAACAAACAGGCCAACAGAACAATGTAACAGAGCAGAGCAACCCCCAGAACATCCACAGAACTTCCAGGAACACATGAAAATCCATGAAAGACACAATATAAGTTCAAAAAGCATAAGTCCAACAGAACAGTGACAGAACCCTCAGCAACATTGAAGAAAATCTTAACCTCATGAAGAAAAGTTGTACGGATAATAACAGAGCCAGGAGAGCCATGTCCAGCACTTTATTTGAGATCAGAGGAACATCAGAAGAAACTGACAGTACTGATGCAGAACCACAAATAACAGAGACAGAACCCTACCGAGCAGAGCAACCACAGGAAACAGCTTTGCATTCCTGCAGAACATATGCTTTGATATGAAACCATTGATATATATATATAATAAAGGCTAGATGTCTTTAGGCGGCGTTTCAAACGGAATCACCGGTAACCATCTTGATTCGGGGCAGCTCTCTGGCGGAACCTGTGGTACGTGAAGGAAGGTGAGTGATCTGCACAAACATAAATACTCTTATCTCGCTGAAATCTTGACGGATTTACAAACGGTTTGGTTTCTTACAAACGTTATTAACGTGGCTACAATTCAAATTGAAAAAAATACAAATAAAATACGCTATTGTGCCGTGAGAGTGGCAGCCAGTTGCAGCGGCTTCTACATACTTTCTATATTTTTAGCTATTTTCTTTGTTTTTTCTTCTGTAGTTTTAATATTATTATATTCATGTAGTTGTACTAGATTAGCATGAATATGATGGAGATGCCAAGGAAGTTTTTTTAATCTGTTTTTTACTTTTTACAAATTTTTAAAGTCCGCATCTGACGAGCTTTTGTTATGATGGACGCTTGCCACATGCTGAAGCTGACACGCAATATGTTGCAGGTATGTGCTCATTATTGCCTATTTGCTCTGGTTGACTCTGTTCTGCTTTTTATACATTTTGATTGTATTCACATAATTGTGCAAAATATGGTGCTTTACATTTGACGTGTGCAGTGAAAAACAATCTGATTGTGCAGGCATAGAGCCCCATTAGAAGCATAACTGGCAGTATCGATTAGTTCAGCTGAACAATGTTTAAAAGAAAAATGGACTACATACTGCCAACCCAGTCACAGATAAGAATATGAACTTTGCTAATCAGAGGATGAAGGTGTGTTTGCATGATGATTTATGTATAGAGGACCGCGATAGAAATGTACTCTAGGGCGTTATTGTGTTTTTATGCTTTTCAATGATGTTTGTATCTTGCAGTGCTAATGTGCTCTTCATTTCTCCTTATAAACTCAATCAAGGTCTCCCTGGCTGCTCAGACTTTGAGGAACTCTGTGGCAGTAGCGCTCCGCACCTTGAAGGACGTGGGCTCTGCAGAGTTCAAAGATTGTGAGGCTACTTCAGAATTAATTCAGGTAACACGGAAACAAGGGTGGTTGCTAAAATGTGAATGCCACCAGGATTAACCCTTTATCTTTTCTTTTTTTCATTTTTTGCATCAGGAATGATTAAATAATTATGACCCTCCTCAAATTCAACAATATGCAAGAACTTGGATAAAACTGTTTATACCTACCTCATCCTGTTGACACTAAGTTGTAGTGACGATTTTAGTGCTTCCAGTTAATTTATATATTTGTTTACAGATAGCAGACAAGCTGTTTGACATCTTGAACAGTCGCAATCCCAGAGCCAAAGGGTTCAAAGGCCCCCTTGATTGTAGGAATTGGACAAGCACCAGGGAGTTCTTGCTCACTTTGAAGATGGAAGATGGCAAACCCCTTTACCGAACAAAGAGCTCTTTTAAAATAGTGACTGTTCTATTTGTGATGCACTGACACCATTTGTGATGGCCAATACCCAGTACCAGTACTTTATTATAATTAAATTATCAGAATGAGACTGCTGAGTTAGAAAATAATGG